AAATTTAAACAGTCAATTGGATTTGAATGAAAATTTTGTTTATTATATTTAGAAATGAATGAAAATGCTCTTTATTTATATGAAATATATTCTTTAAAATAAAGAATATCATTGGAGATGCTTTAAATTAAAGAGTGAGTTTGACTCTCCATATCTAGAAAATCAAATTTCATTCTCTATCATAATTTTAATTAATAAATTACAAGTTTCAATGCATTTTATTTATTAATTCTCTCTCCTATTAACTCATTTTCTATGCATTGGCTCTCTACATCTAGAGAGTTTATTGAATTTGAATAAAAATTTTGTTCTTTATATTTAGAAATTAATGAATATACTTCTAATTTATACGAAAGATGCTCCTTAAAATAAAAAGCATCATTGGAGATGTTTTTAATAAGAACAAAATTTTTATTCAAATCCAATAGACTTTCTAGATGTGGAGAGCCAATACATAGAAAGAGGCTTAGAACATTTCCAAATGACTCTTTATATGACTCAAACTCCTTATTATAAAGAGTTTGTCCATAAAAACAAGGGTCTAATAGACTCTTTTTTCTTTGAATATAAATTAAAGAATGAGTTTGACTCTATGTATCTAAAGAGTCAGAGCATCTCTAAAAGACTCTTTATATGACCCAAACTTTTTACTATAAAAAGTTTATCCATATTTATCTAAAGTGTCAAATAAGACTCTTTATTCTTTAAATATAAATTAAGGAGTGAATTTGACTCTCCATATTTAGAGAGTCAAATTTCACTAGCTATCCTAATTTAAATAATAAATTATAAGTTTCTATGTATTTTATCTATGATTTATCTCTCCTATTAAGTTTCTTTCTTGAAAAAACATATTTTTTTCTCTTAAAATTTAAAGATTCAATTGGATTTGAATAAAAAATTTATTCTTTATATTTAAAACAAAAATGTTTGTTGGATCAATTCATATAAAAAAATAGGGATATATTTAACTTTTTATAGGGTAATTCATATATAAAAATACCTATTTGTCTTTGCAGAATTAAAAACTAAAAAAATTATTTGGTGGTGGGAGAGAGAATTAAATAAAATTTAAATTTCGATAATGAAAAATAGACTTTATTTGAAATTAAATTTTTATTACAAATATCTTCATTATAATTAAATTTATAATTGTTGGTATAAGTCAACTTTATAGTAACTCTTAACATATAATTAGATTAAAATGATGATAACCAACCCAATGTTTTGAAAATATGTCATTAGAATTTGATTTTCACTTAATGATGGGAGAGCATAGTTCGTGGTGATCAACCATGGTTTCTTTAATATTCTTTTTTTAAAGAATTAACTTTAATCTCATTGTCATTTCAAATCAATCTCATTGTCATTTCAAATCAATTGCAGGGAATATAATTTAAAATAATATATTATAAGATTTTAGTGTGCACTTAAAGTTAATTGCTCGGACTTGAAATTTAAAACAATATATTATATGATTTCATTGTACAGACTTAAAGTTAGTGCGGTCAAGTCTGTACACTAAATTCAAAAGTTAATGTTCACAGAATCAAATTTTTTACTTTAATTTAACTGTCATTTCAATTGCCAGTACTTAGAATTTAAAATGAAATATTATATGCTTTTAGTGTCCTGAGCCCTGACTCGGAACTTAAAAGGGTTATATAGATAAAACAAAAATTAATATTAAATTTGACTCGTGCCAACAATTATAAATTTAATTATAATTGACAAAACAATGCTTCTCAAATAAACACTTTTAATCAACAACAAAACTACTATACTTGGCTACACATCCAAGCTAACTCAACCTACTTTGTACCTTTGTATGAAAATGTGTTGCAAAAGGTTCTTACACTTGTAATAAGGATTACACTTCCAACTTTGTGTGATAAAGGTATGACACAAAGAAAAAAGTTTGTACTTGCAAACGGGATTACACTTGCAAAACGTGTACCTTTACATGTTTTGTTTTTTTTTTGTTTTTTGTTTTTTTAAAGTAATTTAATTATTACAATAAATTAACTCATATTTTTCAACTTTCCAATATATTAATTATTACTATAAATTAATTTATACTTTTCAATCTCTATTCTTGGAAATATTGAAATAATTATTATTTCTCTCTCATCCTTAAATTGTTTTCCCTCCAGGAAGCAAGGTTTAAGAGCCAAAAATAATTTTATTTTACTAAAGGATAAATTTGTAAATTTACCTTCCCAAAAAAGTTTTTGATCCGGATCAATTTATCCAAATAGCACTACTCTATTTAAAAATCAATAAAGATGTTCTTTATTTATATGAAAGATGTTTTTTAAAATAAAGAGCATCATTAGAGATGTTCTCAAATCTTACTCTTTATCCCAATTTTATTAATAAATAAAATGTATTAAAATTTGTAATTTATTAATTAAAATTAGAATTAAGAGTGAAATTTGACTTTAGATGTGAAATGTCAAACTCACTCTTTAACTTATATTTAAAGAATAAAGAGTTTATCAAACTCTTATTTTTATGGATAAACTTTTTCTAATAAAGAGTTTAGGTCATATAAAAAAACCTTCTAATGTCCCAATTGTAAACCATATATATGCAATGGCCTTTTGGCAATCAATCTTCCACGTGGCTGCTGAGTAATTCTTTGGGCCAAGTGGCTAATCCTTCTTGGCTAAACTTATTTGGAAAATAATACAGTTACAAAAAATAGCACACCGAATTCATGCAACAAATAACGTGACAAAATACTGAACGTCGATTAATATTAAATTATAATTAATCAACGATCAAGATTATATAACATCATTAGATGAATGAATTCAATATGCTAATTTTGATAACGGTAAAATTACTCATCTTATTTTATTAGCTAGGCTGCGCAAACGATGCCTACGTGTCCACTTTCCAAGATCCTACGTCATTGAACCTATTCTAGGCTTCATAGGCCCATTTGTGGATCCAGGCTGGATCCACCATCCTTTGGGCTTGCAATGGGCATTGTTTTAGGTCTACCTTTGTGCGTTGTCTAGTGTGTTATTTAGGCTTGTTAGGTCTAATGTGATTTGATCATTTTGCCCTTTTATATGATAACCCCTACGAACTTCTGCAAGCGAATCCCTTCTGTTTTTTTTGGCAGTATTATTATGTTATCATATTAACCCTTACATTTTGTTATCAATTTATTCATGACAGTATTTTATAGAAAGTTTAATTTGAGCTGATATGTAGTTTTTTGGCAGTAATGCTATTTTCTCTTAATTCTTCTCCTTAATGTTTATATATATATTGTACTATTTGTATATGTTTATGAAATGTATATTATGTTCATATGTGTTTAATATAAATGAAATAATGCATATTTAAGAAAAAAAAAAATCGAATCAAAAGGAATTTCAAAAAAATTATAAATTTTGAGTTGCAAGAATCTAGTCTCACAAAAGTCTTGTCTTCCACGAGTCTCATTTTGGACAAATGGGATATAATAATATTGACCTTGCTCGAATGGGGTCTTTTTGATAATTTAAAAAGGTATTTTTGCATAATAGGATATATGTAAACTATTAATTTGACATATATAAAACACGAGAAAAATCCACTCGAGCAAGGTCATTATACCTCATTTGTGCATTGCAGGAGTCTAATTGAATTTATTCATCAGTTTTTTTTTTTTTTTTTGGCGTGTGTTTTATATACATTAAATATATATTTGATATTTCACATATCTTTAACACCATATTCTTTCAAAAATAACCAATAAAAATTTGTAATATTCTTACATTTCAATCTTAAATCAGAAGCTTTTTGTCATTTTCATAAAAACAATAGTACTAATATGATTAAGTGTAGAAGACAAAGATAAAAATGTCTAAAAATCTTATGAAAAGTATTCCTTCCAAAGTCATTTAAAAATTGATTATTTTTTAATTTAACTTCTTAAAAGAGGTTAGGAGTTTGGGCTGTTTGGTTTTCTACATAGAAAGCCCAGTGGAAGATGAAATTGGACCCCGATTTAGAACCAGTGGGCCCCCTTTTTTCCCTTTCATTTGTTTTTATTTTATTACCGTTCTTTAACAATCCTCAATTTCCTTTTATCTATATTTTCTTAACGGCGGAACCACTTACACCAACCCAAAATTTGCCGTAATGACAGATTAATACCTAAAAAGTTTAAAAATAACAAACATGTATCTTCTATCATGTGATGTTAGTGATTTTCATTTGCTAATGGTAAAAATACTAGAATGCCCTTGAAAGTTTGATATTTTAGTTTTTTATAAATTTAAAAATTTCTAAAAACCCTCATAAGTTTGCTAATTTAACTAAACACAATAATATATAAAAATTTTGTAAAATAACAAACACCCCCACCACCCGCAGTGCCAGATTTCGGGGTGACCGAAAAATTGCGTTACAACATAAACCCATCGAATCTGTGTTGTAACGAGTCGATCTAGCATTTTTCGACCAGATCTACCACAGATCTAACTAAAAAATACCAGATCTACGGTCAGATCTGGCCGTCGAGGCCGCAAAACTCTGACGACAGCAACGGCCAAAGATGGAGTTTTGTGCTCTCGATGGCCGGATTTGAGATCTGACCGAAAAAAGCTAGATCGACACATTACGACACAGATCCAACGGGTTTGTGTCATAACGCAATTTTACGATCAGATTTCGACGATGATGGCCAGAATTTGACACTACGGGTGGTGAAGATGTTTTTGTCATTTTATAAAATTTTTATATATTGGGGTGTTTGATTAAATTAGCAAATTTGGAAGGTTTTTAGAAATTTTTAAATTTATAAAAATCTAAAATATCAAACTTTCAAGAGTCTTTTCATCGTTAGAAAACAGAAATCCCTACCATGATGGAAGGTAACTGTTTGTCGTTTCTAAATCTTTGGTACCAATCGTTATTACAGCAAACCTTGGGTATGTGTAAGTTTCTTAACCATCTGTTTGGTGGTTGAGAAAACAAGAGGCCGCTCAAGTAGAGAAAGGAAAGTGGAAAGGCCGCTATATTCAAAGTATAATATAACTCCATTCTCTGGACTTTTCTCATTGGACTTAACCGAACAACCTTATCGTTTCTCTAAGTTCATGGAACTGAACCCACTCAAACTTTATGCTAAAATTCAGCTCGAACAGAACACTCTTTCAAAGTATAATATATCCGACAAGCATCTCTGTATCTCTGTTGCAGATTTGCAGGTGACTGAGCACTTGAAATCGGCAAAAACTAAAACCTGTTCAGCCTCATAACTTACAATGAAATCGGCAAATCAACGCTTAACAGGTTCAACTTTTAGATTAATAAGCAGAAGCAACAACAAAAACAAAATCATTTTAGTTTTCTATTATATAATAAAGCAATGATATACTCACCCGTTTCATTTGACAGAAGTTATAAACTCATCCTCCTTCGCTTCTACAAATCATACTGAAAAGAATAAGCGTTTTAGACGCACACAGCGTGGCACCATCACTCCTTTGGTAAGTTTTGATGGGACCAAACAAGTGTGCGCCTCAAACCTTACTCTTTTTTCTTCGCCAATGAAAGGCCGGCTCCTGTTTCTCTCGTTCTATCTATGTTAGGTTTAGAAAGAACGAAGATTTCATGTATTTATAACCAATTGATCTTTGCTCGGAAGTTGAACCAATGAAAGCACATGACAGAAGGGAGGGAGAGGAAGTGAATAATAGAATAGCGAGTAAGTGACAACTGTGATGGGGCCAAAAGTAAACAGAGCAAAGCACTGGAATTATAATACAATAATGTTATTGTAATAATGGAGTGAATACGCAGCTACTTACAAATACTGACAAGTGTGAAGATACGATTGTCGACTTTCGGGGCAGAGGGTTGAGTGTAGCCTACAATCTGCCAGAGCAGCACATGGGTTGGAGAGTCTGTCACAGCGATCAGATCATCCAGTTCTTGCGTTGGAAATCACCGCCAAGTGGCTGGCTGCTTTATTGTGAAGAAACTACATGTGGAAATTGCATTTCATTTTGTTTCTTCGTAAACCATGTTAAACAAAAAAAAGGCCGATCGAGTTTATCGGTTTTTAAGAGGGCTAATCCTTCGACTTAAAAATGTTTTATTTGATGAAGAGTTAATCCACCTCAAATTATATCATGTAATTGAGTTGAGTGTTTGATCATTTAGGTAAAAAGTTAGAATAAATAATCGTGAAAGAAAATATTGAAACTCTACATCGATTAGACACGTTTAAACTTATTGATTTATAAGAAGGGATAATCCTCTCATTCAAAAAAATCTTATTTACTGAAAGTTGTGTCTACCTCAAATTCTATCCAAGGAAAACTGGAACGGAAATGGATTGTCTCAAATCAGAGTGGGACAACATGCTTCATGTCTTTTTCTTTCAAATTAAATTGACCTTAGCCTCATCCACATACCAGAAGCATCCCCCTTACAACGTAGCTGTAAAAGAATTCAATGTCCATCACCTGACCGACTAACCCAGTCTAGATAACTTATTATCCTTTGATAATAGAGTATTTTTTTTAGTAAATTTGGCTAAGAAATCGAGGGTAATACATACATTGGAAATTAGTTTTGGGTGATCGAATGATTTGATAAAAACTTTTGAGTATATTACTCAAGAGGTTTTGAGTTTGAGTCCCTTTTTGATTTCTAATAGGAGTAACCACTGAAGTTCTTACCCGACTGATAATTTTAGGGTCTTAGAGGGGGAATAATTGAGGTGCGCATAAACTGGTCTGGACACTCTGGTCATATAGAAAAAAAAAAAAACCATGGGAAAATGTTAAATTTATTTATTATTTAGGATTCGGATATTTGCCATTTTCTGGAAAAAGAATATTGGACGGACATTGCGAAGAAAAGAAAAGGCCCATAAACATGAAGAATAGAAAAAAGAAGGCCCAATTACTTTTTAACAGAGAGTGGCCCAATGGAGCAATACCTAGTACAAAGACCGATTTAGGGGGAAACTTGGACGCGCGGAGGGAGGGAGAACAGTGGCAGAGAGATGGCCGGAGTAGGAGCATTTTGGGGGACAAGAGTGATGGAGATAGTGAAAAAACACGACTCCGGTGGACTCCTTTGGAAGAGAATAAAGCTTACTCCTACTCGTAAAGCCAACGCTAAGAAGCGTCTTCGTCGAGTTTGGCAGGTAGCTTCTTACTCTCGCTTTTTGTTTCTAGGGTTTATGCTTCACTATCAATGTAATGTTGAATTTATTTTTTCCTTTTAATTATCTAAATTAGTTGCTGTATTGAACTAAATAAGGCTTCGATTGGATCACTTTATTATATTGAAGCATCCATTTGTCGGTATTGGTTTTTGTAGAATGTAAGATAAGAGCTGGTGACAATATGCAAATTAGAAATTTGTTCACTTAGAAGTTTTATTAATGTGATGAACTTTCAATTAATGAATTTTATTTATTGTATATGTTTAATAGCCGTACATGTGAATTTCTATGTTTTCACCATTAAATATCTAGCATTTTTGGTTTAACGGGTACACGTTATTAAATTAATTGTATTTGATTAAAATAGATTTTTTAATCAGGATTTGCTCTTGAATTTGTCATGAGAAATTCTCTGTTTTTTGGCTTAATTCTGCATTTTTTCGGTAATTCAAATATTTGATTGAACTGTCATATCGGCTGGATGAGTATTGCTTTACCTGGGTTGGAACTTGGAATAGGTTTCTCTATTGTATTGTTAGATTGTTTTTATAAAATTCTTCTTGTGCTTTAATGTGGTAGAAAGTGGATGCTTGTTTCAAGAATATCTTAACATTGATGTAGAATAGATTTGGGAATCGACGGTCTAATTGGCTGTGATAAGAAGTTGAAGTGGAAGGTCAACATTTTCTACGTCTGGTAGGTAAAGTTAAGTGTTGTACAACCCAGGGCTTGTCAAAACCATACTAATTTAATCTTAGAATGTTTCCATTGGGCTGTCATAATCATAATTTGTTGAGTAAGCATGGTTATGGGAAGTTGGTGCTACTGGTGCACAGTGAATTCTACGAAGATTGGATAAAGAGTTTCAACTGATGGGGCTGGAACGGGTTATTTAACTTGGTAATCAACTTAATTAGAGATGGATGCTGTGAAAGCAGGAAGCCATTTTGCGCCGTATCCTTTCCAGTTCTAGGGCGATACACAGTGCTTGCAACTGATTTTCCAATCGGATATTGAGTGATGCCAACCTCAAGTTGATAGGATAACATATGAATCCACTATCTCTATTTTTCACTCTGATAACTCTTTTTCCCCTGGATCTACCAAGTTCTTGTACTTTTTCTTTTGCTTGGGTCAAATTATGCTTTCTGTCATTGATTCGTGATTTTTGTTCATGAAATTAGCAGAATGTTTGTAAAACACCTGACTCAACCTTAAGCCAAACAGCACATGGATTGGTTTTGCTGCCATCAGGAACATGCAGCCATGATTGCTAACTGCTTATTATTCCTGTGCCTTCCTCAGTCCCCGGACTAAAGCTCACACATTGAGAGGCCCTATGAAATAAATCTGCACTCTGATGCATATAAACTCAACTATGAAATCTTCTAATTAATTTGTTGCTTGGTCTCCAAATTTTGCAGAAATCTTGGTTCAACTTATCTGATTCAAGTGTTCATGGCTTAATGTGCATCTCTTAGGCTATGTTAACTCTTAATATGAGCTTTTGGTCCCTTTTTGAAGTTCTGAAAATGCTATTTTCTTGCAGAATGAGGCTGTCCTAAAGGCATGTGCAGCACCACCGCCTTCACAAGCTTCAGAGCCTGGTGTTGAGGGAAGTAATGAGAAAGACACTGGAAGTAGCTAAGTTAAGAGACAAACTGAGTAAGACCATTAGGTGAGCCTGGACAGCAGGTGTTTTGTGATTCTGTGGCTTCACGATGCCAGATATTTTTGTTATGTTTCAGATTAAAAATTAGTTCAACCTTGTAAGTGACCTTTGTTTGATCTTTTTATAGAACTAAATATTAGTTTATGAGGTTCCAGTCTTGAGCAAGGGATTGTAGTAAAGTTTGTTTAATTCATTGGATCAAATTCAATTATGATCTTATATGCTCTGACCTAATTGATTGCTGAATCGTAAATCGGATAGCCATGTTTTAATTGAAATATTTGCAACACTCTTAAGAACTTTAGCCAGTCATTCTGAATTTTCAAAAAGTCGTGTGCTCATTTGATTTGAGTTTTTGACTTGAGGCTAAACTTATTTGCAGCTGTGGAACTTCTTCTCCATGCCTTTCTTATTTTATTTTCTTGCCCTTGGAGTTAACATTTTTTTTTTTTTTTTGCTTAACAATCAGTGTAATAGCAAATTGAATCACATGCTCAGATAGAAAATTCAAAGGAATTTGGTTTTTCAATAATGAAATCGTGAATAGAGATACTATGTAATGGTGGGCTTGCATCAGGCAGGGCCATTTTGTTGATGGTTCGATGGAATCATTCATCTTTCAGATGAATAAGAAGGATAGCAGTGAATCTCGTCATAAAGATGAAGTGGTCCTGTTCCGTATTGAAATAAAAATGGGGCTGGATGGTAACATGGGTACAGACCCACCGAAAGACAAGTTGAAAACTCTATGTCGAGCAGAAGATTGATATTGACAGTGATGAAAATTTAGAATGATTGGCTGAAGAAAATATACATATCAATGTAGGTTGAGATCTAAAGAGATCCTGGCGGCCAGTCTAACCCATCAATCCAAGCTCAAGTTTGCCTCCTCACACGCAACTCTCACATCACATGCATTCCTCTACTCAAAGTATTGAGTACATTAATGTCCTTATGCTTTAAAAGCTTTTATGTACGGCTTAGAGATTGAAAAATCAAGATAATTTTGGCAAATTTTGAGTTGTCTTCTTGCATAAAATCTTGTACTTGATCGGTTACAAAGTAAATTTTAGTTGAAATTTTTATTGTTTGTGGCTGAAAACTACCCTTACCCTACCCTACCCTACCCTACCCCATTCTGCAGATTGTTGCTGTAAGTGTACCATAAGCCTTTCTGTCAATGAAGTCAGAATTTTAATGCAATATACAGATATAGGCAAGCAACTGCCAGAAATAACATTGACCATTTCTGACTTTCATTGCTATGATGAGTTGTTTAGTTTAGACTCCTTGCAGCTGCATTAATTGATACAACTGTTGTTGGGTTCTTCTTTATGACCTATGATGAGTTGTTTAGTTTAGACTCCTTGCAGCAACTTACCCACCTAATTATTTTAATTTCTTCTAATGATAACAGCAAAACCAAAAGGGTTTTGTTTTGTAGAGTTGATATTTTTTTATTTTTTTTTGTGAAAGCCTCAGTATGAGACTAACTCTGATTGGGACTAGAGTAAGTATCCTTGATCATAAGATGCTTTTAATAGGTTGGAATCCCTAACTTGCAGGTAAAATTCACCCCACTTGGAGCCGAGTTACCAGGGCCACACCTCATGGTTGAGTAGATATTTTATGTTATGAATTCTCATGCTTTGGATCCCTTCTAATGAAGGAAATGGATTGGATTAAGATTTTGATTTGATGATAAGCACATAGGCTGGTTGTTGTAAAGAGGATCTTGATGTCCCATATTTAAGTCTTACATTACTTAGATTAATATGTGTAGAACACATATTAATTAAAAATATAATTGGAGGTGTCATTGTTGCAAGATACTAACAACCCCTTGAAACTTAAAATTGCCTAAGCAAGTAGCAGAAAAAAGTGGTTGGTTTAGGAACTGGTCAACTTACATAATTGATAAAACACTACATTTCCTGTGTGCAAGTAATGGATCAAGGAATGTCAAAATACCCACATGAATTTGTACATATTTCTCCAAAGAAATGACCTAATCTATCAGCAGCATCAGTGAGGCTACAAAAATAAAAAAAAAGGGGTTTTAAAGTTTGTGGTGTTATAAGTGGTCTACCATGACGGGCTACCCACGTGATTGACAAATTTTTGTATCCTAATCAGCAATCCACAACCCAATCCAATCTTTCTCACACACAAATCCTGAAAACGATATCTTCTAATTTTTATTATACAAAAAAAAAAAGTGCCGTGAAGAACTCCAACAGCCAGCCTTAGATAATTGAAAACCACTGTCACAAGAAACTCTCTGGTCGGCTTATATTTTTTTAAATGCCCTTTCTCTTCTTCTTCTCTTCCCGTTTGGGCATGCTAATAATAACTCACAGTTCTGGACAATGAAAACTCTTGATCAAAGTGTTTTTTATTTTATTTTTAAATTAAAATATAATATAATATGCCGTCCCTTGTCTGTCTGGAATCCACTTGGCATCATTTAAACGCCTTGAGATATGATATCATTTATTTTTCTAAGGTGACAACCCAACTTTTATTTTATTTTTATTACCATTTTTGATCCTATATTATAATTTTTTATGTTTTCTTTGAGTCAACTATTATATACTGGTTCTGGCTCTTGCATGTTTGACACGTGTGTCACACATGCAGTTAATTTAATTCAGAGTCAAAATTTCAGAGCTTGATGGAAAAAATAGAGGAGAGAAAGAATCCTGAAATTTGAATTCCCTCTGTTTTTATTTTTGGTGCGGCCATATTCAAACAAAATAAAATTTTATTAATGGAAAAAACTGGTGTGGGTGACCTTACTTGTATCACAAGTAACTTAAACAATGTAAATATTACCTTCTTTTGACAGCATAGTGACAACTTAAAAATCTTGCCGGATTGTACAAGCAAGCAATCTTAAAATTTGGTCTTTTCAAAAGTCATAGCACTCCATTTTCAAATTGCTGCCCCCTTGCTCAAGAATTGGTTTCTTCTAGCTCTCAACTTTCACAAACTGATCTTGTGAAATTGCAAAAAATTTGGTTGGCTCCAAGTTCCTATATCAACATACCTACCCTCCCTAAAACTTTTGTATTTTTAGATGAAAAGGGACCACCGTAACAAATGTTTGTAGAAAATGTGTAAAGAATGTTTGTTCCTCTGAACCCGTTTGTCAATGTTGCAGATAATGGTGGAGTGTTAAAGGTTTTGACTTGGAGCGGGGGGCTCACTTTCTTGGAGATTCGATTTTAGTTTTGATATATTTTATCAAAGAATTGGGTTCCCTTAAGTGTAAAATTTTGCCTTTTCCTAGAATGGAGATGGGAACCTCGTGCAAAGCTGATATTGCAAAATGCAAAGATCAGATATGCTTATTCTTGTGCTCCTCAACTGGTCTTTAACAAAGTTAAAGACTAGATATATATATATATATATATATATATATATATACATATATGCCTTCTCTTCAAAACTTTCACCCTCCTTTTTCTATCTTTATTTTTTATTTATTTTTCCTTTCTCTTTTTTGTCTTTCTTCCAATTTTATTCCTCTGAAAATCATTTGCCTTTTAGTATTGAATAGGCTCTGCATGGCAAACCAAAAACAACGTTGTTTGAGAAAGATTTTCTTTGTAAAAATGAAAGCAGAGAAATCAGAACATAAGGAAATCCTGAAATTTTGATTACAGAGGAGTTGAATTTGTTAAAATCCATTGCTCTTTTATATTACTGATAAAAACTAATGCCGATTTTTTTATTATTATTTTCTTTCACTGATATCTCATTCGGTAAAGTTATAATCCGAGACAACAGATGTGAGAAATAAATGACCAAACATTAGATTGCTAACTGGTTATTCTGATTTTCTAATCAGAAGACCACCAATTACTGGTACAGCCACTAAAGAGGGAAATTATAATTTATTTTGTTTACTGTTTTCTTCTGAAATAAGGGAAGCTATTGCAACTACTTTCTTCGTGATCTTCTGATTCATTGGATGAAATTTCGGTGATTCCACTTGTTCCTGAAGAAGATGAAGAAGGAGCCAGATTCAAATCAGCTCTCTCTTTTGTCATGAAATCGTAGAAAACAGGCCTGCTGGTCCTCGATTTACGACCTCCATTAGCATTGCCAGTTTCCTCATCCTCAATTTTAGCACTCCTTTTCTTCAAAAATATACGGCATAGAACCCAATTTTCAACTGGCATCACGAGGCTCTGCGCATATTTTAATTAAAATCATTAAATGACCCACTGAAGCATAACTTAACTTGCAATCTGTTGAATTGATTATGAATTGCCGGACTTGTAAGATTGAAAACTCACCTGGGTTGAGTTTTTATTTTGAATGGTCTCTGAAGTAACAAGCCTATATTCATGCATAACCCAATCGGTTCTCGAACCATGTGGTGGCTTTCCTCTATAAAAAACCAAAGTTTTTTTCATGCCCACCATTTGGTTGCCCCTGGAAGTTACAATTTGCTTGTCGAGTCCAGTAGCCTTCCAATAACCAGAGCCAGTAGCTCTGTTGGATCTGTTCCCATTTGGGTATTTTGCTTCCCTTGTGCTGAAAAAGTACCTCTCTTGCTCCAAATCACCTGAACACACAAACCCCCATGTATCAAACAACTTTCTTTTATCTTTAGGCCAAATTAAAGATGTTACTTATGCATGTAAACTCACTAACCTGGCAAATCCCAAGGATCAGACTTGCAAACATCAACTTCAGGAATTATAGAGGCCGGCAAGGGGAAAGCAAAAACCTTGCGCTTCAAGTACTGAACAACCAACTCTTCATCAGTGGGATGAAAACGGAATCCCGGAGGCAATCTTAAAACTCCATTCTTGACAAAATTAATCTTTTCCATCTTCAAAAAAGCACACACCACTTGAAGTAACAAATTAAGAAAGCCCTTGTAGTACTAGTAGCAGCAACACAGCATCAGCAGCCAGTTCAAAAGTGTTGAAACCCAATTGAGGCAGAATCAAAACCAAGTGATGTAAGGTTCTTATAAACCCATCAAAGTAAAAGAAAGATAAAAACTAAAAATCAATCAATCAACAAGAACAAGAGATGGAACAAGAACAAGAAAGAACATAGAAAAAAAAAAAACAGGGTGAAGAGATTGGTGGGTATATTGAGAGGAGGGAAAAGTGTTGGTTCTTTATGGTGTAATGGAGAGAAGAGGAGGGGAATAAATAAGGACGACCCATTTGGCGTAAACAAGACTCAAACTCCTTTTATCGTTGACGCCACATCATTATTACTTATTAGCAATACGTTTGAAGCAGTTAATTTTGCGTCTCTGCGAAAAGGTTAAAGTTTTTTATTTAAACGAAACCGAATGCTTTTGCCCTTTCAGCTTAGTTTGTGTTCGGTCTTTAGCTTTCTCTATGGGACTAACCGAAGCTCTTTTCATCCTCCTGTTTTCACTTCCTTTTCTGTCTTTAAATTTACTATTATACCCTTCTCCAATGACCATTATTGTTATTTTAGAAATTGTTGGACGGTGGGAGGGGTAATTTAGTCTTGGCACGCAAGAGGGTGTGCGAGAAATAAGAGATGGGGGGTATTTTGGGGATTTAGTTAAAAAAGAAAACGGACTGGGTCTAGACGACTGCGAATTGGGGGCTCGTAAGGGTGAAGTCACCTTATGTCATGCTTACAGCTGTAGGTCACCAAAGCTTATATTGGGGTTAAAGTGCAAGTACAAAACTAACCCGTGATGATACAAGGGGAAACCAAATATTATTGTTAGCTGCTTGTTTTAGGAATCAACAACACGGCACTTTTACTCAACTGACCATTTTAATGCAATTCCCATTCTTGACCTTACTTTTATAATTTCACACTCTTAAAACTATTTTAATCTTCAAATAAATAATTTTATAATTAAGAAAATCTTAATAATAGCTTCACACTTTTACAAACTCAACAAGGTCAAAGAATGGCAAGGGCTTTTCAATCGCTCAAGTCAGCACCATAAATTCCTTGGAAAATAAATGTCTAGCTATCAAATGAAGTATGCTGCTAGGGTTTGAGGAAAAGGTGTGGTTCCCTTAATAAGATTACTTTGATTGCCCTTTTATCTTTACGGCAAGACGACATGCTTTCATGCCTTTTTCCTTTATCGGGTATTCACCTTAAAAATGTGATGCCTCGGTGATTTTATATATTGGTATCGGATGGTTGAGTTTCGTGTGTTTTTAAAATATCAGATCACCGATTATATTAATTGGTAAATGAAATCAGATACCATATTAATAAAAATAGTATTATTATAATTATTAGGGTTCGAGTGAGAAAATAAAGATTTACTTAATGCGTTGCATGTTTTTAATATTTTTCTCCTTACAATCAAATTGAATGAGCATTTGTATTTTATAAGAATTCCGTATTATATGATTTGTTCCATATAGTACCAAAATTTTCATAAATGAAAATTCAATGGTCCATAATCACAATATTTAAGTGCATAATTGAGTATAAAAATATTAGTTGAATTCTTACGTGTAGCATCCTTGAAAAGATTTGATTGAACTTAAATGGTGGTTAGATATTATTCTTGGAATTTGATACCATAACCATAAAAAATAAAGAAATAATAGTACACCCACAACTTCTTCTCACAACTCCGAGGTAACAACTCGTAATTAATCAGTTTACAATGGAACCCACCTAATAAATTATGGCTAATCAATTGTGAGCTGTTACGTCGGGGTTGTAGGAGAAAGTTTGTGAGAAAAGGTTGTGGATGTAGTATTACTCAAAGTAAAGTATGTAATCATATAGTAATGTCCAACCATATTGCTATCATATGATACATTCATACAATAACTGGTGAAGCATTATAAAATTATTATAATTTCATATGGAGACATACCCACAACCATATATAGAAGCTACTTAACGTATCTTATAAAGTTTGCTTAAAAAAGGAAGAAGAATCCCAAATTAAATATCAAATATACCAAACATGAAAATCTTTTAATAATTAAATTAAGAGTAAACCACTTTTCCCCACCAAAATAATTGCTTAATGACACTTTCTCACTCAAAAACTTTTAAAATACCACTTTATTACTAAAACTTATATTCCGTTTTCGATTCCGGCATAGTTGCGACCCTATACTATCATCATTTTCTTCCCTGATTATCACTTCTCAAATCCTACTCTTGTCGACTCCGCCAATCGCTAACAATTAAGCAATTAGGGTTTGTGCAATCACCACTCCCAAGTCAAATTTTGATCAATCTCAATCACCGAAATCCAACTTTCCATCTTAAACCAAGTTTTCTTTCTATTTGTCATTGGAATATAAATTTAAATAGTAAAGTGGTATTTCAAAAGTCAGTAGATAGAAAAGTGTCATTAAACTATTATTTGGAAGGGAAAAAAAATCATTTACTCTTAAATTAATAAAATTATAATTATAAACATAGTTATAAGTTTACTTCACAAATAGAAAAATCCCTCAATAAAGAAATGAATCACATAAAGTGATGAGATATATTCAATCTTAACTTGTAGAAAAAGAAGAATCCCATGATATAAAACCCCAAAAAATGAAAAATAGTTTAATAAGAAGAATAATATGGGGCATAATTAGTTAATTAAATTATGGGCAGGGGTGCACGCATGGACATGCGTGTTAAACTAAATTATAGATTGTCTCGTAGAAACTATGAACTTAGTAGAGAAGAGGAGAGATGCTCGTATATATTGAGGGGTCCTTCAAATTGACAACTCATTTAAAGATTCTACACTACCAGGATCCTTTGCCTTTCCCCAATTGCAACCTTTTTATTTTAATAATAATAATGTGAGAAATAAATGACCAAACATTAGATTGCTAACTGGTTATTCTGATTTCTAATCAGAAGACACCAATTACTGGTACAGCCACTAAAGAGGGAAATTATAATTATTTTGTTTAATGTTTCTCTGAAATAAGGGAAGCTATTGCAACTACTTTCTTCGTGATCTTCTGATTCATTGGATGAAATTTCGGTGATTCCACTTGTTCCTGAAGAGATGAAGAAGGAGCCAGATTCAAATCAGCTCTCTCTTTTGTCATGAAATCGTGAGAAAACAGGCCTGCTGGTCCTCGATTTACGACCTCCATTAGCATTGCCAGTTTCCTCATCCTCAATTTTAGCACTCCTTTTCTTCAAAAATATACGGCATAGAACCCAATTTTCAACTGGCATCACGAGGCTCTGCGCATATTTTAATTAAAATCATTAAATGACCCACGAAGCATAATTAACTTGCAATCTGTTGAATTGATTATGAATTGGCGGACTTGTAAGATTGAAAACTCACCTGGGTTGAGTTTTTATTTGAGGTCTCTGAAGTAACAAGCCATATTCATGCATAACCCAATCGGTTCTCGAACCATGTGGTGGCTTTCCTCTATAAAAAACCAAAGTTTTTTCATGCCCACCATTTGGTTGCCCCTGGAAGTTACAATTTGCTTGTCGAGTCCAGTAGCCTTCCAATAACCAGAAGCCAGTAGCTCTGTTGGATCTGTTCCCATTTGGGTATTTGCTTCCCTTGTGCTGAAAAAGTACTCTCTTGCTCCAAATCACCTGAACACACAAACCCCATGATCAAACAACTTCTTTTATCTTTAGGCCAAAATAAAGATGTTACTTATGCATGTAAACTCACTAACCTGGCAAATCCCAAGGATCAGACTTGCAAACATCAACTTCAGGAATTATAGAGGCGGGCAAGGGGAAAGCAAAAACCTGCGCTTCAAGTACATGAACAACCAACTCTTCATCAGTGGGATGAAAACGGAATCCGGTGGCAATCTTAAAACTCATTCTTGACAAAATTAATCTTTTCCATCTTCAAAAAAAGCACACACCACTTGAAGTAACAAAGTAAGAAGCCCTGTAGTACTAGTAGCAGCAACACAGCATCAGCAGCCAGTTCAAAGTGTTGAAACCCAAATGAGGCAGAATCAAAACCAGTGATGTAAGGTTCTTATTATAACCCATCAAAGTAAAAGAAAGAAACAAATAAAATCAATCAATCAACAAGAACAAGAGATGGAACAAGAACAAGAAAGAACATAGAAAAAAAAAAACAGGGTGAAGAGATTGGTGGGTATATTGAGAGGAGGGAAAAGTGTTGGTTCTTTATAATGTAATGGAGAGAAGAGGAGGGGAAAAATAAGGACGAACCATTTGGCGTAAACAAGACTCAAACTCCTTTATCGTTGACGCCACATCATTATTAACAATACGTTTGAAGCAGTAATTTTGGTCTCGCGAAAAGGTTAAAGTTTAGATGAGTTGTTTATGTTTAGACTCCTTGCAGGCAACTTACCCACCTAATTATTTTAATTTCTTCTAATAGATAACAGCTAAAACCAAAAGGGTTTTGTTTTGTAGAGTTGATATTTTTTATTTTTTTTTTGTGAAAGCCTCAGTATGAGACTAACTCTGATTGGGACTAGAGTAAGTATCCTTGATCATAAGATGCTTTTAATATGGTTGGAATCCCTAACATTGCAGGTAAAATTCACCCCACTTGGAGCCGAGTTACCAGGGCCACACCTCATGGTTAGAGTAGATATTTTTATGTTATGAGATTCTCATGCTTTGGATCCCTTCTAATGAAGGAAATGGATTGGTTTAAGATTTTGATTTGATGATAAGCACATAGGCTGGTTGTTGTAAAGGAGGATCTTGATGTCCCATATTTAAGTCTTACATTACTTAGATTAATATGTGATTAGAACAAATATTAATTAAAAATAATAATTGGAGGTGTCATTGTTGCAGAGATACTAAGCAACCCCTTGAAACTTAAAATTGTCTAAGCAAGTAGTAGAAAAAAGTGGTTGGTTTAGGAACTGGTCAACTTACATAATTGATAAAACACTACATTTCCTGTGTACAAGATAATGGATCAAGGAAATGTCAAAAGTACCCACATGAATTTGTACATATTTCTCCAAAGAAATTGACCTAATCTAATCAGCAGCATCAGGTGAGGCTACAAAAAATAAAAAAAAAAGGGGTTTTAAAGTTTGTGGTGTTAAGTAAGTGGTCTACCATGACGGGCTACCCACGTGATTGACAAATTTTTGTAACCTAAGTCAGCAATCCACAACCCAATCCAATCTTTCTCACACACAAATCCTGAAAACGATATCTTCCAATTTTTATTTATACAAAAA